CTACGTTAATACTCAGTTCTGATGTTACTCCATCATATATCCTCCAGGAAAACAAAGTTCTCATTGTACATCTCAAAACTTCGATCGTTTGATGAACCGAAAGAAAAGGGTTACAGCGGGATGCCACAGATGACGGCGCTAGTGATTATTGCAGCGACCGGAGTGCCCCCTCAGGCCAAATATAGGTATAATCCAGTGCGTTCATAAATGGCGAGTCTGAGGCTCTCGGGAAATTATCCGGGAAGGACTCGTAGTCTTGGAACCTCATGTGTTGTACGAGTCAATGAATTTAGCTGCTCTCCTCGCATGATTTCCGCTCGTGAAACCAATGGAATTACTTATAGTATTAATACACATATACGGTTCAGTCGTTGTTCTTTCAACCCGCTATGTTTCCTACCACCTCACCCGCTGCTCCCCCGACTACAGCATTGTCCCTGATCCTTTGTTCAAAATATACGCAAGTCACCACAATCTCGTCGAGTATCGGCATTCCTTCAGGTGCGATTGAAATTTTGGCTGGTGCCTCCTCTTTGAGGATGCCCGAATGACTCTCTTCGTAAATCGCGACGGTATTCTTGAACTTATCGGTCAACTAGATTGTTTTGAGCACCGGCTCGAGACTCGATAATCAGTTGACTCACCTTGGCCTTTGAGAACTTCCGCTTCCAGGTATATACCTCTCCGTTCGCAAGGGATGTGAATGATTTTCCACTGATCGAAAATATTCAACCCACATGCCCTCAAAAGATAAAAACGATCACAAACCTTGAAGACTCTCCACTCTTGGGTTGAATATCCCTCCCCGACATCTCGCAGACGTCACTATGAAGCAACCGCACCTGCACTTGGCCAATATTGACCGGAGGATGTCCAGGGTACTGGAACTTTCTTATCACTGTGGGCTCCGAACTCCAAGTCTTTTCGTGTGTGTACATCTCGTACACGGGCTGACCACTGGTCAACGAAAGCGTTGCATTCTTGGGGTCGTCTTGTGAGAATATGAGATCCATGTTGTCGTTGTGATTGTACTTTTGAACCCTTGGGGTATTTGTACCCGTTCCTCAGTGGCGTCGCTGCCACTTAATCAGCTTTCGGCTCACACGGGGATGAGCCCCACACTGAGCCCCACACTGAGAAACGCTTGTCTGAGTGCTACTTACTGGCGTTCTGCTTTGTTCATGTGCGTCCATGGTTGAAAACGCAACCTTTGCAACAGGCTGGCCAGTCGTACATTTATATCCTGCGTCGAGGTTTTCGCGATATTTTACTTCGAGCACAAGTTGCCCAGTACCTCAAACCACGTCACTATCAGATTCGAACACGCAGTGCACAACACTCCCCCTCTGACGTAGCTGGTGGCCAACCTGAAACATTTACTCAGTTCTACGTAGCAGGAGCTCGATACACACTAGGGGAGTCCGCCGCCACCGCCATCTCCCTTGCCAAGGCGTTCCAGCTGCTTTCCCGTTTGATTTCCCGTTTACTTCAATCAAAACCACCGCATCTTGTGTTCCTCAGGGCGCACCCTGTGAACGTTAGGACTCCAATTCGCGAAATGTTATATACGCTACATAACGAGTCCAAATGTGCAGTAAGATCTCTATTTTCACTCTGTTCCTTGGCCTGATCTCCCTTCTTCTATAATCCGGAATGCAATCGGGAAAGGGGACTTTGATCTCCCTCTTGATAAGTAGAATCTCGTTCAAACACCTTCATTAATTTACATATATGGTACAGTCATTGTTTCTTCAGCTCGCTACTGCGGCCCCTATCGCCTCGCCTACTCCTTCGCCCACTCCTCCTGCTATCTCAGCATCTTCTCTACACTGCTGCTCGTAATACACGCAAGTCACCACTATCTCGTCGACTATCTGCATCCCCCCAGGCATAATTAAAAGCTTTGCTGGTGACTTCTTTTTGAAGAAACCTGAATGGCTCTCTTCGTGAATCGCTACAGTATTTTTGAACTTATCGGTCAACTAGATTGTTTTCATAAGCAAAGGCTCGAATTCATGATTGTGTGACTTACCGTGGCTTTCGAAGACTTCCACTTCCAGTTATACTCCTGTCCGTTAACTAAGGATCTGAACGACCTGCCACTAATAGACAGCTATCATTCTGGATATCCATAAAGAAGAGATGGAAACTTGCTCACCTCGATAACAAATCCCCTTTTCTCGGTCGAATATCCCTCCCCCATACCTGACAAATGTCGGGATGCAACGACCGCATCTTTACTTGTCCAATTTCCACCGGTGGATGTCCAGGATACTGAAACTTTCTTATCACTGTTGGCCCCGAACTCCAAGTACTGTCCTCTGTGTACACCTCGTACACGAGTTGACCAGTGGCCAACGAGATTGTCGCGTTCTTGGGGTTGTCTCTTGAGTATATGAGATCCATGTTGTCGTTGTGATAGCGCTGTCGAAAATCTGAAGGGTATTTGTACTCTTTCCTTGATCAGGGTGGTGCTGAGTGCCACTCGATTGAATTTCGGTTCACACGGGAGTGAGCTCCACCTGAGGCGGTAACTACTCACTGGCGTTCGACACCGTCTGTTGTTTTGTGCTTTCCTCTTTGAGAACGCCGCAGAATATGCAACATAGTTGGCAGCCAATCATTTACGTACTACTTCGAAGAATTGTTAGTCTGCTTTCTGCGATATTACTTGCACAAAGTTCTTGATACATCAATTACGTCACTGACAGATTTTGGACACTCAGTGTACAACAACGCTCGCATCTCAGTCTGACGTAGGTGGCTAGCGTGAAACATTTACTCAGCTCTACAGGACATTGAGTCTTGTCAAGCCAGACGGCTACCTCGAGCCCTTCTGCAGCCGTCTGGCTTGGCGAGACCCACAGACGTTTATAATACACGCGATGTAGGGTACGAGTTCTCTGAAGTCTAAGTCTATTCAATTACAAAGCTAATTCATAAATTTACATGCGTCACTAGTCAAAACATACATCACTCTCCGATACGCAAACTTAACGCATCCGCGACCTCCCACGTTCGGATGAACTCCACAAAAGTAGAGTCCGCCCCATTAATTTCTACTTCCCTCAACCCCTGGAACCCACCGTCCAAAGCCCGAACGAGTGACTCCGCACATCGAAGAGACTCTTCACTTGTATCTCCCGACGTTGAGTCACAAGGACGTCCATCTTCCCTAACCCCAATAAAGATCTTCAACGAACGAACAACGAAATCTTCCCGGCGCTCGACCCAATCCTTCGTAAACTCTCCCAAATTCCCAATACACCCCACGCTAATCCTCAACTCCTCCACTTCTTGAATCTCCTCCAGTAAATAGGACATCGACGCATGAGACAATCTCCGTCGATCGTCCGGGTTTGATCGTCCATCGCCATCCATCTCGAAACACCAAAATTCGAGCAAATTGACCCTGCATTTCGAGCTAGAGACAAGCTCCTGCGCACTGGCATACCCCGTGTCGTATGATTCCGGCTCCCTGAACGCACCAACTCCAGACTCCAGAACGAGATGTTCGAGATTAGGTGCGTCAATGAACTCGAGCGCACTCGGCGAGTCCACGGCATGCAAGAATACGAGATTGGGAAATTCGAGAGGGCCATTTCCGTCCGTATATGGTGAACATAATCGAATAAGCTCGATATGAGCAGCGTCGAGGACCATATGCGTGAGTTGAGACCAAGGGAGGGAAACGAGCGGGATCTGGTTGTCTTCCCAGTATGAAGGGGTGGAGTTGGGGTGTTCGGATATCAACTTGGTACGAAGGAGAACCTGGCGCAAGGTCGGGGCGGAGTTGATGGTGATTTCGAAAGGTTCATATTCGTATGAGTCTTCGCTCTCCCAGCTCAAGTCTGAGTCGGTATCCGAACCGGTGTCTGAGGGAATGCTTGAGAACGAGCCTGAGACTGACTCGATGCCTGAATCCTGCATCTCGGCGTCCGAGCCCGACTCCAAGTCCGTAAATTCGATTTCCTCCTCCGAGTAGTCCCAGTATGAATCAGATTGATCCTCGAATTCCTCATCCACCATGACCTCAAGGGAGATATCCAGCACCTCGAGCCGCGGAAATTGAGCAAAGTCGAGCATGGAAGATGCCACCTTACTCGAGCTGTTCAAAGCCAAGGTAGCATCCCTCCAACGATCCGAATGCTGCAGAAGGGTGTGCAGGCACCAGGTAGGTATTGTCGTATCCGAGATGATGACTAGAGAACGGTTGGCCGACCGGCTAAGGGTCTTCTCGAGTGCATTCTTGACCCTACCAGTGTCGGTGCCGAGATAACGGGGGACGATGATTTTGGACCAAAGGAAAGGTAAGGAGGAGACGATGGCTCGCCATCGACGGCAAACTTGCTCGAGTACATAACCAGGTGTGAACATTTTCGGTGCATCGTCGATGTCGATGAGGTCTTCAAAAATCTGGATAAGGATTTCATTTGGGATGTGGGAAGGACGGGAATGCGCTGGCGAACCATGCCAGGATGTAGAAGTAGTGAGAGATAGAGAAGACAATTCTGAAGAAGTCATGTCGAAGAGTGTCCGTGAGGGGGAAGGAATTGGAGAAGCGGCGAAAGAAAAACCCTCTTATATATGAGGCCCAACACGACAATGACAATGGGATGCCTCATGAATCCAGATGGTTACCGATCCTCATGCCACATTCCATGGGCCATCGCTTAAAACGATTGTGGCCGGGATGACTCTCTAGGCCACGCTCAAAGCGTTAAAGAGGGTTCAAATTCCTCCATGTGCAAATCGCGTTCAGCTCGAGACAACTTCGATAACACGGGCTCACCGGCACCATCTGTGAGTTTCTCAACCTCTACGTCGGCGAATAGAAAGCATACATAGCTAGAGCGCAAGCAGAACTGGACGAGTTGCCGCTCGGATGGTAGTGAGATGACAAGTTGGAATGACTGCCTAAATTCGGAAGGGGACAAAAAAGATAAGATAAGATGAGTGCTCGGCGGTACACATTGAGGGGATCTTAAACTCTTTACAACGTCTTGGTCGATTAGTGGTTAAATCATCTCGTTGTGGTCAGACTTAGGTGGATTGCACAACCGAGAAGCCGAGGGCTCGACTCCCTCCCGAGACATTGCGCAACATCTTCCCCGTACCTGATTTTTAACAAAAGTTTCTTTGGTTCGACAAATTACGGCAGTCTCTGACACAAATAGGAATTATAGGTACCATTCGTCGTTCATCCTCAAGTCATACAGGGCCCTCTGAGTAAACCCACATAGCCAGGCTTTCGAGAAAGGTGTTCGAGGGAGCACAGTAATCATAGCATTTGCTACGAGAATTCGGTACTAAACGATACTAAATGATCCTTGATGTGCTTTGGAAAAGTTATGTATGCGCACCGGGCAATTGACGTGGTGTTAGAGTCGTGGTCGAGGTATATACGGGCTGCTGACGATTGTTATAAACAGACGAGGCGGTTTATGATACGTTATAACACCACAATGTACAGTACATGTACGTTGTGGTGAAAGTGGTATAATCCGGATGCGACTGCGACTGCGGCGGGGGACCACTAGTCCTAATTCTCCGTCTCTGTCTCGCCGAACGTACGTCACATAACTGCAACTAAGACGACCAGAGACGGTCAAAGCAGTCCAACACACAACAGCGAAAGAGGGAGCTCTGCTCGGGTATGATGTCTCCGCAAGTACACGTGATGTATTGAGGATCTATACCTTCAGTAAGATCATCCTTCGACCCGTTACTCCGACTCGTAATTAGCAAGCGTGGGTGTCGAAACAGACGCCAGTAATCACTATAAAAGAAAGCCAATCAGTATAAAACAGTGGTGATGCGAGGGAATGTAGCGTTACACGTACCTCGTCTGTCTGGGTGAAGTATCCTCTCTCGAAGGAACCATATCCCACGAACACAAAGCAAGGCCGCTGAACCGGTCCACCTATATCGTCCTCCGACAACCTGAACGCCAACTATGCCTCCAGCACGGTCGCCCTTCCCCCATTCCTGGTAAGCAACGGAGGTGCGCTGAACGGAACAGCTACCGAATCTATACCCACAGTCTTCTAGAAGAACGTCAGTCAGTCGTGACTCAGAGGAATGTAGCGTTACAACTTTACCTAATGCACGATGCTCCCGCTCCGGATCCTGTTTACGCTCTCAGAGGCACCGCATCCTGCGGACATGAACACAAAGCCTCCAACGCCGCTGAAGCCTATTCACCCATCGTCCTCCGACAACCAACCAGCTCGCCAGCCCGTGCCAGAACACCCTATACCTCCAGGTCACCCTTCCTCTATTCCTCGTAAAAAACGAGGGTGACCAGCTACCCGGAATAACGTCGATCAGTCAGCCGTGATTCGGAGGTATATGTAGCGTTACAACATACCTCATGACTATACGCATCCCAGGTCCTAGGAACGTAAATCCAATCAAGGCTTGTGACGCGCGCGCAGGGTACCGCTCGAACCTATCGAACCCATCTCGTCCTCGTTCCCCCACCCCAAAACCTAGCTTGCGGTGAGGCGCCCGGGTGCTCACTGGGGCCGTATTCCGACTCCCGAGACGAAGGAACGCCCGACAATAAACGACTGGTTCGACCCTAAGGAGTACACGAATGTATTCGAGGATGACAAGGTAGGGCATATGCACAAGGGTTCCGGTTACGGATATGCCGAGGGAAGAGAGACATAGCCGTTGAGGATTACGCAAACCCAGTCGTCGTACGGTATATTCCTGAACGAGTGCCTAACTCCATTTCCCCATCTCGTCCTCTAACAACCGCCTCGTCGGGTTTTGGTCATGGAAAAAACCCCAGCCCTGCCCCCGAGACGAAGAGCGCCCGAAGTATCTCCATATCGAACAACCTTTTCGACCTCGAAGTCATAGTGGACGTGGCTGTGCAAACGTGTCCGATCTGGATGAGTTGGGAGACGGAATGGCGTTGAGGTGCGTGGATGGTTGAGTTCAAGCGAAGAGGAGGTGAAATATATGCCATTGTCAAGGACGGAGGGGCCAGAAAGTGACGCATCCCTGGTAACATGTAATACCACGCTCGCATACTATAGGAACTGACGAGCGAGCGAGAGGTTTGAGCGACGGGAAGACCGTAGCGTGACTCCACGATCACTTGGGAGGGTCATCTTCCTTTCTGTTTGCAGCTAGCTCTGGTTCGTCGGGATAGCTTCTAAAAGATCGTAAGAACGCTAACGCTATAACGGTGCGAATAAAAGGCACCTTCTCGGAATAGCCCCGTCGCTGCTTGTGTTCTCCCGCTCTTCCAACATGCCAAATGTAAACACTCCTTCTTCTGAACGCGCAAGTCTTCGTCCAAAGAGAACCATAACTAATAGGCGTTGCCAGTTGCGTTAGAATGGTATGGTAAGTATTAAGCATGTACTATAGTGATCCAGCAGGAGCGACGTACCCTTGTCCCATAGACGAAAGGACTCCTTCGAGTATTTGAAAAGCTTGATTGGCTTCCTTAGGATGCATGGCCTACGCCTGCTGCGGGGTGTGCCAGGTGAGCTAGAAGTCGATAATAGGAGGTAGGAGTAACACTCACCTGCCCAAGATCTCTGTGTGTGAGACGCCTAAGTTTGGAGACTGTGTCTTGAAGCGGGATTGAGTCACAATAAGCACCTTATAGAATGGAAGGTGCCTCAACGCATTTCTCAAGAAAATAAGGGCCAGCCGTTGCGTCATCGTAGCACCACGTGGATGGAGGATGGAAATTCTCTAGGGCAGCAAGTCACTAATACGTCCACTAGCAAAGGGAAGTAAGACGTACTCCATTGTAAGGGCTTGAGGTGCGAGCAAACGAGTTACTGGTCAGTTGCAGTCGAGGAATATTCACGGTGACGGACGCGAAGAAAGAAGTTCTGTCACACCTTGTCACAGCTCACGCCTCTTCTTCTCGAACCACCATCACGATCTCCCGAGGCCGACCACTACTCTAGCAACACGACCGGGCGAGCGCTATGAGTAATCGTATACCAGTGCCGCTCGAATTGGTAGACCAGATACTCAAGGATTGCGGTCAAGAATCCCTTTTAACATGTTCCCTCGTTTGCAAAGCATGGCTGCCTCTCTGCCGAGCTCGCACCTTTGGCAGAGTCAAACTCAATACATTTCCACGTGGTTTGAGGCGATGGGACGCGGTGGCTGCGATGGACGCAATGGCTGCGATGGACTCCGCCGCAGGCTATATTCGACACTTTTCCATGGAGATCGATTTGCTATCCAATGCCGATTCGGATGACTTCGCTCGAGTCATTCCAGGGCTCAATTCTCTTGAGGGAAAGCTCGTTGCCCTGCAAAGCTTTGCTCTCATCAGCGGCCACAGATGCATACTTTGTGACGAGTCGATGTTTTGCGACATCCGACCAGGTCTCGCACCCCATCTCGTTGCCACCTTCACCAACATCATCGAGCTCAAAGTCCGTCTACAATCCGAAGATCTGGCTACATTCGTAGCCTTCATATGCTCCTTCCCACGACTCCAAGTCCTTCGTGTCCGAATCTCCATGTTTGTAGACTTTGTTCAACATTCCACCGCAAAGCTAACCGACACCCTTCCTCTCACGGTCAAATCAATCATCATCACCGAACGCGATGGCAACATTCCTGGCTATGTATTAACTCAACGCTTTCACCATTGGCTCGAAACACATCCTCCTCGCCCAATCACACTCCTCTCTATTGTGGACTATCACAACCACGAATCCATTTCCTCGCCGAACCCTAGCCCTTATTTTACAGGCCTTTGTAAAGACACAAAAACACTCCACCTGTCATTTAATTGTGACTGGGATCAGGGGGGTGAGATGTCCTCCATATACAACGTGTACATTACTAACAGACAAAAACATGTGACTCTAGCTCCCCCAACTCGTTCCCCGCCAGATCTGTCCACACTAACATCCCTCGAAAGGATTGTTCTCAGCTTTCGCGGCTACACCTCCGAGACCTTCTCCCTCATACTCCATATCATCCTCCACATGGTCAATACAACAACTTCTCCCCACTTCCGTGCCATCGTATTCCACTTTATCAACGACAATGGATCCGGTTTCCCCACGGAATTCGGATGGAGTGAATTGGATGACCTTCTGGCTACAGACAAATTTGCTACATGTTCTGTCGAACTCATCATTCCACCAGACGAGAACGAAGTCTGTTTATTCCCAAAGCTTCATCAGAGAGGACGCGTAACGGTTGTTCGAGCACCGTCTTCTCGGCCTGCTGAGAAGCAGATGGAGTGGGTGTGTAACCGTCGCTAGGGAGAGTTGCGCTTTTTCTTGGTGGATTGGGGGTTTGAACCTTCTCTTCTTCGTGGGAGTGTGAACTTTGGGTATACTATAACCGACTGGTACAACGTATTCAGAGCTCCTCTCACTTTACATGGAAACTGTAGAATAAGCTTACTCCTCGGTATTTGACATTTGGGTAATAACAGTCTCCAGATTAACTATGCACCCACAGATTAGATTGATACATTAGCGCTTTTCACCACTCGGCAGTTGCCGAGTTATTTGGTCACTTGGACGCGCGTCGCGTGTAACCTTCACTCCCTTGACCATTGACCACGACATGGAGGCGTCGACAGCCTCAACACATGTTGATCTCATAGGTATGCTTGTGAAAGTCTTGGCCGTGAATCGGTTAAACAGTTACCTCTGTAGAGCTTACGCCAAAAAGGAAGGAAAACCTTGTCTCTTCCGAACACAAACTACCTGTGGAAATTTGGAGGCTCATATTCCTAGAAGCGTGCCTGTGGAACCATGAAGGAAGTCGGTTAGGTCGCAGAAGTCAACTCAGACCCATTGAACTAGGCGGAAATGTCCTCACACCCATTCCTCTACAACTCTCCCGTACTTGCTCTTTCTGGCGGAGGATCGTGCTTGAATGCCCCATCCTTTGGTCTTGTATATCACTACGCCTACAGCCTATCTGCAGAGATGATTCGTGCCTGCTCACCGCATTTAGCTTCGTGCTCGAAAAATCATGCAATCATCCACTTCTCCTGGAGATCTCCGTAAATCGAGCTCAACCGCGGCAGTGGGCCAATGGCTTTCTTACCTCTTTAAAGCCCCTGTTGTTCCAGGCATTGGCCCAATCCATGGATCTCGAGATTCAACTTGACATTTTCCAGTCGATAACCTTCGAGTTCCCCCTTTATTTTCCTCTTCTCCGAAAATTCACAATAATAGAAACACGTTTAATCACGGACACCACCGTCCGTTCACGAAACGTACAAGACATACGCATGCTGCTTTACCACGTTCCTGCGCTTACTTCCATTACCCTCAATTCGTTGGCTTGGCCGGTGATCAGGTGTTTTCCACCTCACAACTCAGTTAAGTCATTAGAATGCTATTATTCACCAAGCGACCACCTCAGGCCCCTCCTTGACTCATTTCCCTCTCTCAACCACCTTCACCTCCGGGTAATACAGTATAACCTGCCAGTCGTCGTTTCCAGCCCTGTCGTTTTCCCATATCTGAACGCTCTCACAATCCAAAACGAAGAAGGCATCCCCGATCTCGACACTCTCATCAAAGCGTTCAATACCCCCTCCCTAACTCACTTCGCGCTCATCACAACGACCTACGGTCGTATGAGGGATCACCACATCGGAAGCTCGCTCATAGAATGCCTTCGACAGAGTCGTTGTAACCTCCGAACCCTGCGTATATCCGCCCCCAACATACCTCTAAGCTCCAACTCCCAATGGATATCAGACCTCATTGACTTCACACCGGAGCTGAGAACTCTCCATCTCGAATTTTGTGCTCCTAAGGAAAGTGAAGCGACGGCCGGTGTCAGTGTCATGCTGAACAGTGTCGTTTACTGGCTCTGCTCTTCACCAGCACCAACACTCCCGTCACTATCCACTCTTACCGTGCGCACCTACAAATTCCCGACAGACAAGTCGTCGAGCTCTGTTGCGCGTGACATGGCAACTGCCCTCTTGCACATGGTCGAGTCTCGGGCGGATAGCAACACTTCGTTGCGTCATGCAGAGCTCGTTATCTCCCACTCCTTTTTCCGCGACCATAGACCAGGGGCGAGGGCGGTAGGAAATATCGAAGACGTTGAGGAACTTGAGGCTTTTAAAGTTGATGTAGCTCGCCGGCGTGAATTACTCCTGGTCAAGTATGGTGTCACCTTCGACTTGGACATATCATGGTATTCATTGAAATAATCAAGACATCGACCTCACCTGTACTTGTATCTGTTGTAATATATGCGCCAAGGTTGAAGTGGAGTCTAACGATGATTTTCTCGTGAACCGATTTGTCCTTCTCTCGGTCCATATATGTCAAGTGCTCTCAGGCTGACTTCAAGGATATTGTATACCATGAAGGCTAAACGATTTCCACCAGATACCCGGAGTCAATACAAAGTTGTACAGCGTATGAGTGAGAAGAGAGCCCAGGAAGCTCTATCAAATTGAGTATTCACCGCCTAATACTCACAGATGTCCGGGAGACTAGCAAATGTAAAGCCACCGAATAAGCCCCTTCTGATTTTCGAGGGGTACAAAGATATGTATAACTGCTCAATCATTCTCATGCAAGTCCACAGCGTAGGTCTTGGTCGATTAGTGGTTAAATCATCTCGTTGTGGTATCGACTTCTTTCGACTTGTAACCGAGAAGCCGAGGGCTCGACTCCCTCCCGAGACAATATTTTGGAATGCTTTTTTTTTTCGATCATACTACAATCTCTCGCTCCTGATCTTTCTCGTATACTGAACTGAGGTGGGGACTTGGCTCATCCATATGAGTATGTATCACAACCTACACGAATTTTCCCTTATTCCTTGAACTTACTATCCCCTTCCTTTTTGCCCGCGCTCATATGAATGTTTGAGGGACACGAGCCGTTTTTGTGTACCAACTCGAGAGGAAGAGCACCCGTGTATTCCAACGATAGAGCACGCATCAACGCGAAACGTGCCCCCAATTTCTGCGCGACTCTCACGTGCTGGGAATCGAAGTGTGCGTGCCAAGATCAAAGATTGCTCAAACGCGTGTCCAGTATTTCTTTGTTCTCAAACCTCCATTGTCCATTCTTATTTCAAGTAAAGACAAGGCGAGTTACTAGAACCCTTGAAAGCGGTTCGTTGTACTTACTGCCTTGTCCACACAGTAACGCTATGTCTGGCCACTCCATCCGTGTACAAGCGTTCTTTAACTACAGTTCTGACGCTCTGTCCAATTTCCCGACCGTAGCAGAAGCCTTCGATAAACTCAAAACCGTTGGGCCCCCGTCTGTGTTCACACTCAACGTCTCCTATCCCAGCCGTCGAGTCGACACAGCCTGCCAGGCTATCACTTCCCTCGCATGCTACATGCAAACAGACCTCGATTCCACCTCGTACGGGATGACTACTCATTGGGAGACATCTGTCTCCAAATGGGTCGTCTTCTTTCTTCGAAACGCGATTCTTTTCTTTCAAGACTCTTCGACTCTGCAGATAGGCCCAAACATCTTGGAGTTTTTCCTTTTCGCACTTCCCAACCTTCTCGATTATCAGAATAAATCAGCCTCCATGCGGTCGCTCAGGAACCGCGCCTTATGGTACCTTCACCCTCTCATAGCTCAGATCTGGCCTTTCTTGATCGATGAAGGATCGGAATCCGAGCACCCACTCACGAGTTCTTGGTCAGCACTATTAATTCGTTGTACCATCAACCGTGAGGAGCCACCACCAGTCTCACCTCGTAACCACACCCTCCTTCCCCCCATCACAATCAGACGCCTCGACGGTACTGTTCTCGGGAAGAAAATCCTCGCGGTACTTAACCTCAGAATCGAACGTGTGGCAATGAAACACGCAGGTACCATGTCCGAAATCGAAGATCTCAAAAACATGGTCTCCATCCTCATCATGGGCTCCGATGCACTTCAGTCTGACTCCGATCAGGCCGCCAATCCGATTTATATCGGTGGGGAGAACTACATCACTGCTCTTCGTTCGATGTCAAGGATTATTTCCATTCTCCTTCGCAAACGAGCAAACATTCATAGACTGCGCATCGAGAGTGCCGTGTTGAAGGACACATACACAATTACTTGTGCTCTCCTTCTCGCGTTCGTGACAGACGGTCTCGGTATCGTATGCCGCCGATTGCTTTTACGACCTATCAGGGAAGCAAGCTGGCCCGACCGAATTGGTGTTTGTGGATTTGGCGGCGTCGGTTCTGGACCGGATCTGTACATTTATTGTGCACCATGACGTTCTTCGGGCGTTCATGAGGAGTACTTCAAAGCTTTGGACGTTTGGAGAGGAGGATATCACCCCAATCAGGGCGAAGGAATCGAAAAAATTGAGAGGTGCTTGGGAGAACGTCCTTGAGAAATCAATTATGGTTGATTCGGCTCGGTGGGCGCTCAAGCAACGAGGGATATGTGATTCCCTACAGGCAAGCTCTGATTCTCGAAGTGAACCGGCGGATTTTTGATTTTGTTACAGTGCCCAGCACAACGGAGTTACGGAGAGCACAACTTCGACATTCAATATCTACGTTGCACAGGGTGCTTCATCAACATATATTGCTCTCTCGAGTGTCGAAAGACCCACTGGAACCAGCATCATAAGGTGGAATGCGCACGTCATGCTCGAGATATAACTGGTACGCTCGTTTCATTGCACGCGTATCATCTAGACTCTGAATACCATTTTTTGTTGACCTTTGTTTTCTCTAGATGGTATACTCGAGATATCTCGGAACGACCTCAAACTGTTCCGCATACTGGTGGAGCACTACCTAAGCGCTCACGCTAAGACCATTAATACTCGAGTAAACGAATTCCGACAATCCCGTCCTTCATTCGAGGGGCTCCGTAACGTGAGGAACCCAATTCTCTATATCAACTACGTTCGCCGGGACCTTCCTGGTCCCGACAACATGGAGATCCTGGATCGTGTACGAGAGAGGGGTAGTCGGGAGTTTGAAGGTGGCCGGGAGTATCTCGGGTCGCTGCAGAGGCAATGGGACGGGAGTGGGCTGGAGAAATTGGTTGTTTGGGCAGCTTTCCCGCTCCAGTCAGGACAGTCGACGAAGTCAGTAACAAAAATCGTTCGCTTTCCGGTAAAGGGATACGACTAGATTGGGAGTCGAACTTGCCTGGGACATTGTGGTAGATAATGAATGACTAGGATCGACTGCCGTCGCAAGTTCAGGTATCATCGTTGCTCCCTCGTCACAGTGATCCTTCTTCGTACTCGCATATGCTAGTCTCCCGAATAGCCTTATTTCTCCTGTACATACCCGTGTGAAGCCGTTCCTCTCTTGTAGTAAGTAGAATCGTTCACGCATTTTGATGTGGTATAACCAGAAAACCCCTTCGACATTGTCTGTAATCCTCGTATAGTATAAAGGAGCCCATACTGACGAGAGGAGAATGATAGGAAGTTTGCAAGGTATTCCTACGAACAGGACATATCATACTGGCTTTCCTGATCTCAATATCAGATGACATACTCTCCGTTCAACTTCACAGTAATTTGCATCCTCTCTCTACCACATAGCTACGAGCCCGCCACGAACCTGCCACGGAAGTTTAAGGTCCGTGGCTATCACGAGCATCTGACGCGGGAATTTCTCTATGCCCTCTCGTAAATCGACTTGTCCACATCCCGGCCTTGGATCTCAAGGGCCATGCATTCCAAGCGACATTGCTAAAAGAGTGGGGAATTGACCGACCTCGTACATAATGAATATAATCGAGATTCCCCCATCTTGACAAACTTCACGTCGGCATCGAAGTGAGCATGGATGAAAATGCCCAAGTACGTCGGTCTCGGTAAGAAGGTCTCGGGATCGCGACTTTGTGGTTCATCATAATACCGTCGCATTTGAACGTTCAGTATATGCTATCCAGCAAATCCAATCTGAAAAGTGACCCATTTCGTTCTCGCTCCTACTCCGATCCTCTCCCAGCGATACTTCGCTCCCCTCGTCTCTTGGTGTAAACATCTGAGCGTGGCATCATCATAATCCTCCAAGCCCTGGTATGTCCAAGATACAAGTAAGCCCTGCATTGCCTTGAAGTGCTTCGCATCGTCGACGAATCACATCGACCTCGGGCTCAGGTCCTTGATTATTCCAGACCTCTCTCACTGGGCCATCACGGTCTTCCTTGGAATTAGGGGTGACGACGAGCTCCGCATGACGTAACGACATGACTTCGTCCACTCGATATTCGACCATGCTCAAGAACCGGGCGGCCATGTCGCGGGCGATAGAAAGCCACAATTCGTCTGTCGAAAAGCCGTAGGCGCGCATGGCTATAGTCGATAACAATGGAAGAGTCGGTATTGAGGAATCGGTGTCTGAGAGTAAAGAAAAAAGCCGATAAACCATTGTATTTGGCATCACATTGACACTAGCCATCGCATCACGGTCCTTGAGGGCACAGAACTCGATATCGAGGGCTCTCAGCTCGGGTGAGAGGTTAGCGACATCTGATATCCATCGGGAATCAGACATTAGGCGAGTTCGAGGGGCGGATATACGGAGAGTTTGTAGGTTGCACCTACTCCGTCGAAGGCACTCGACGAGCAAACTTCCAATATGGTGATTCGCCGTGGTGGGAACTGATGTGATGAAAGTGAGGTTTACGATGGAAGGAATAGTGAGAGAGAGATGTTAATATCCTCAATATCGAGGACGCCACATTCGTCTTCGATTATGAGAGTCTTCAAGTCGGGGAAAACGACCGATATCGGGATAAGTGCGCGATTGATTTGGACGTGGAGGTGCGTAAGGAAGGGGAACAAATTAGAGAGGGTCCTGAGATGTTGGCTAGACAGCCTAAAGCACTTTACCGACGTAACCGAATCGAAAGGTGGGAAACTTGTGATAGCACACCAAGCCCAAAAATTCCAAAATACGACGGATTCCAGCGTAGGAGTGTGGTGAAGCAGCATGCGTGTGTTTTGTATATCATGTGAAAGGTCGGTGTATCCACGTGAATCTTTCATCGTGAGGTGCCGGAGAAAGGGGAGATGAAGGGGAGATGCGATGGTAGTCGACTGAAATATATCGAGCTGGATCTCGAAATCCAAGGACTGGACCAGAGCCTGGAGCAGAAGAGGCTCCAAGAAGCCTCGGAAGCCTTCGGTCCGTTCCTGTGTGACCTGTATTTGTGGAGACCGCCAGAGAAAGAGGGTGATTGCCTGATTTTTTGAGCACAAAGCTCAATCTAGTGAGGAAGACGGAGTTATTCTCGCAGATTGGCTGTGGGCGCAGTGACATACATGACCAAAGGATTGGGTGTTCGAAGCCAATATTCCTCCAAAGAGAGCAGACGCGAGAGAGCCGTAGAGGGATGCATGTGACACTATTCCACCCGATTTCAATTGGCCTCGGCTGTGTCTTGACACCTGAACGATTTTTTGCATGATCGCAGAGGCACACTTTCGAGAATATGTGCCTCCATATCCCCACAGGTAGCTTGTGCCGAAGGCAAACGTAGTCATCCGTTCTTGTCGGCTAGAGCACTTACAGTCTAGAGGAGAAGCTTTCAGTTGAGTGGAGGCTGTAGGCTCCTATTAGCACACCTGCTGGCTACGAAAGTGGGCTTCCAAGTGCGTCCTACTATCGTCGACACCTCTACGTCGTAGTTATTGTTCAAGGGAGTAAATGACGCACAGCTGCGTCACAGTTTTCCCACC